CAGAATCATCTTGTAACAGGAAATAACACCTTCCCTCCCTTGCGTGGGAAGCCAACCCTCACTGGCTTAACAGCTTCTAGGAACTTGCACGTCTTCTTGACTTTCTCCAGGAGTTTGGGAGTAAAAGTAAGGAACAGCCTTTCCTGAGCTATGGGATCCTGAGCTGGACAGATTGTAAAGATTTGTAGCATTTCACTACACTCTCCAAGACATTAGGAGCAGCAAAATATATGTCAAACAATAGTAACACCCCCGAGATAACTGAAACACCACTGTTGACTATTTGTAAGAGAAGGAAAGGGAATAACTGCAGGCTGCTACAGCCGTATATTATACAAGCACTTTAATTACTACAGCTCATGGCATGCATTTATATCTGCTGGTAGACCAAAAAATAAATCCTACAATTAAGTTGACTTGGGAAATGAAATAAACGGGGGTAGGAGAATTGAAACTCCTGGCTCTTATTTAATCATCAAAGAAATCTATTTTGCAACAAGCTAGGAGCATTCCATTAACAGTCTCAGAAGTGCTGAAGGACTAAGAGCAAGGCCCTTCGTGAAGAGATAACCTGAATTAGTAAATAACTAAGGGGGTTCTCAAGACATGTTTTGAATTTCAAAAACAACTGTAAATCGCTGAAGTTACTCCTTGATACTCCATTTATATTCTGCCCTCTGATAAGAGCATAATATTGAGCTATAACCAAAGCAAGGAACATTACCTTTGACAAAGGAAAAGCTCTTGTTCAGAGACTCCTTTGGAAGAAAAGGAGGACAGAAGAGGAAAGATAAGGTTGCCGATCCTTGAAACTACCTGAAATATTAATGCAAATTTACCTAAGTGACAGAAAGTAAAGGAGCATTCCTGTTCTGGATAGCAGCTTCTGCAAGGTTTGGGATGGGAATTGTCCAAGCATCAGTGCTGTAGCCAGAGAGTAAGCAAAGTCTCCCGGTTCCTGTTCTTGGGAGCAACAACTTGGGCTGAAGCACCGTTCAGTGAATCAGGCCCTCCAACGATGCACTGAGAAGACACTCCCTTGAACCTCAGGAGTTATGCCTGGGAGCGAGGCATCAGGCACACAACAAAATACTAAGTAGAACCTACTGATGCATTTAACGAAGCTAGACCCTACCAGAAGGGCAGCAATGCTGGCTGGAGCTAGTCCTCAGCTGAGCTGGCTGGCAAAAGAGCTTTTTTGAAAGGTTGCTGAATTTAGAACTAAATAAATACAGCAGCTGCAGTCTTTACTTTCGCAGCCTTGTAAATAAATATGCGATCTTTCATTTTGCTCTTGACAGAATATGTAAATGCTTTATTCATCCTTACACCTGCTCTGGCAACATCCACATCTTCTTATGAGGAACAGTAAATCTGTGCAAGCTGGGGTGCTTGTAACAAGGATTTCAGCAGTTGTTTGAAGCAGAGGCATCCCCTTTATACTGCTCCAGAAGGCAGTCTGGGGACTGGGAAAACTAGGCAGCAGGCTCAGGAGCGAGGCGCCTACAGCAGCTCGGGACCTGCCCCAGTCCCCCTTCCTCCAGCCCCGCCTTGTTCACGCCGGCAGCGCTGGGGCTGGTGCCTCCTCAGCGAGACGCGGCCGGCACACCGAGACAGCGCTGCCCGGAGCCCCCTTCCCCGCGCCCGGAGCCCAGCGGG